TTAAAAACTACTTAACATCCCTTGATAGTCCTTAAGTACTAAGTTCATACCAATCAATTGCAATATATCAACTTCTACTCACATAGACCACATTCCCTTTTTTTATCAAGCCTGTCAAAATATCAGATTAAGATCCATAATAATGTTTTTTGAAATAGGCCATGGAATGTAATAAGAAATAGGCATGGCTATTAATCCTAAAATGTATAATGATATATGGTTTGCCTCTAGGATCTATTCCAGAAAAGGAAATACAAGGTAGATGCATTATCTTGAGATCCATTGAAAGCCAACAAGATTTCGGCTGGTATTATCTTTATTGAAAAAAATACATACAACCTAATGACGTTTAATCAATCATAATACTTGATCCCTACTTATACAGTTGCTTAATTATTAAAGTATGATTGTGACCTATTATAATTACAAAAATACGATAATTAGCTTCTTTGATTATGGAAAATTAGCTTATTTGATTAGTGATTAATCAGCTGTAAAAACAATTAGTGTTATCTAGTGACATCAAGATTGAGCACAAAATATGTATACCTGCTTACCGACTCTAGAAGCTGATTGCATGTTTTGAATCTTGTGCACGTCTTGTTAACTCCCTAACAATCAGTGTTATCTAGTGACATCAAGATTGAGAAAAAAATTATAGAATACAAATTACTTACCATATCTTGGGAAGCACCTTCTTGGATGGTTATCTCTTCTGCACTAAGGCTACTTTTATCATACCTGGAAATGATATCACCAACTCTGAAATACAGCAAGTCAGATAATCATTTAGGTCTACTGATTGGTTTCCACCTCAAAAAGGGGCAAATTGTAGATACAGAAAAGTAACCAACTTTGGTAACAAACTTCCAGTTTTCTATTTTGGAAATCGAAAGAATTAATGCATGTCCAAATAATTGTATGTTGTATAGAAATGAGCATGCAAATCTACATGAATGTATTACATGTGGAAGATCGCGTTATTTGCGGAAGAAACAAACACAATATAATAGTGATGTGACAAAATGATAAAGTATACCTTTAATACATTTTTATTATCTAAAAATAAAAAATATAATTTGAATGCAAATTTGAAACATATGAGGATAGTATTATGTATGTATTTAATACATTTTTGTTTGCAACAACATAGACGGACACGACACTAAAGGAAAAAAAAAACAATTATAGTTGCAATTGAAGCAATATAGAAGGAAGTACCATGCATTTTTGTAATTATGTAGCATTTCTTGCCCCCAAAAAATGTCATGAGTTGAGTGTTGATCAAATGACCAAAACGCCCTTTCATTCATGATTTGGTTTGCTCACTTTCTTTCAGGTACATCAAAGAAGGATTAGAGAATTGAAAAGGACAATGTGGTCATTTTGGTATATCTTCCTCTAAGGATTCCAGATCAATAGTCTCAAAAAATTATTATGGTAAATGTTGATAGAATTTTGAATTATAGAGTGGTTTAGGATCACCATTTATTATCTAATCAGTGGTAAATATCTCATTACATACCAGATCTTTCATACAAATAAACGTTGTTTGGATATAGTCATTTTACTTTTGGTGGTTTGGTTACTACTGATGTTAGAATTTGTATAGAGATCAACACTTATTACAACTTTTGCATGTTGTGTTTTGAATCAAGATTAATGTGAATTATGTGACATATTTTCCACGACAATTAAGATATGTTTTAACCCAATAAAAACTATAATAGCCAAATGATAAAACTTTCCATGATTCGTTATTAGCATCTGGAAAAAAAGTCACAAGTTATAAGGTTTTCTTTCAATTTACCCAATAAAAACTATAATACCCGGTCTTTGGTAATGATGGAATCATGGAAGGAATGGAATAGAATAACTCATTCAATTACCTTTTGCGTTCCATCCATTAAAAAAACCAATCTTAACATAAAAAACATTTATGCTAAAATATAATAAATTTTAATCTTTAAATAATTATACTTCACCACACAAGAAAATGAATTAAAAAAAAGCACAAGCTTAAAAGTTTAAATGTAGATGTGTTGCTAAAAATTATACTTCATTAGGCATGGGCAAAAAACCGGTTCACAAACCGAACCGGTCAATGAACCGAAGACCGGTTTATCCCCGAACTGGTTCACCTATGAACCGAACCACCGGTTTAAATCAATTCCACTTGCCAAATGTTGGGACCGGTTTAATACGAACCGGTTTATGGAACTGGTTTTGTTTTTATATTTGAAGTTGTATTATGTATTTCCAATTTCCAATATAATAAACAAAAAAAATATGAAAAAAAAGGTTACAAATTGCTCCAAAAAATATGTTGATTTCAAGTTGAACAACTTTTTTGAAAATGAAAAAAAAAATTAATTTTTTTTTACCTTTTTGCATATATATGGACGTGTATATGTGTATTAACCATAAGGGTTTGTGCATGCCTACTTCATCATATATTTAACTGATATCGAAGGGGCCCATCGGTCTAGCCCATACGAGCTTTGAGAAAGTTGAAGGCACATTTTCATTTCGTCATCAGTCAAACTTTTACAACTTAAGAAAATTGATCAAAAGTCAAAATTGCAATTTGTCATCCATCAAAGTTTGCTTATCATGAGAACGATGAAGCCTTCACCTCTGGCCGACGACGACGCCTCCACCTCCGATCTCCGGTCGATGACACAGACAAAGTCTACTACTCCGGCCGACTGCCGCTTCCACCTCCTACTTCTTTCACGTTGTTTAAAGTACGATTGGCCTTTGGGTGTAGTTGATTGACACTTTGATTAATGTTGTGTTTATGACCATGTCTTCTTTGTATGACATATTACTTCATACTGCTTGTTGATAACCCTAGAAAGCATCATCGACTCTATTTTGTACATCTTTGGAGTGGAATTAGCATCCACCATTTGTTCATATAGTTTGTAAACATCATCGACTCTATTTAAGCTCAATAGAATTTATGTTTGCAGAGATTTTATAGATTTTGGTAGTACTAGTGCAATGCTGTTAGTTGGCTAGGAATCAATAATGGTTATACTATGTAAAAGTATATATGCTCAATCTTGATGTCACTAGATAACACTGATTGTTTTTACAGCTGATTATCAACTAATCAAATAAGCTAATTTTCTGTAATCAAATAAGCTAATTATTGTATTTGTATTATTATAATAGGTCACAATCATACTTTAATAATTAAGCAACTGTATAAGTAGGGATCAAGTATTATGACTTATTAAACGTCATTAGGTAATATATATTTTTTGAATTTCCATTATTTTCAATAAAGATAATACCAGCCAAAATCTTGTTGGCTTTCACTGGATCTCAAGATAATGTATCTACCTTGTATTTAGGCAAACCCATATCATTATACAGTTTAGGATGAATAGCCATGCCTATTTCTTACTATATGTTTTTGGATGAGATTTGGATTTGTTACATTCCATGGCCTATTTTCATAGATTCTACTGTTTCACATTCATGATTTTACAATATCTCCTCATTCTATGGTTATATGTGTTCTCTATTCTTTAGAAACAACAATAGTTATTCACCGTTTCTGAGTCTTCAGTTACCATATTTCAGAAGGAAGGATTGGGAAATGCTAGCTAGTCAAGTTTAATTCTGTCTTCACAGATTCCTCGAGGACATCTTTGATATGAGAACTTGGTTTTCCAAGTTTAGCTAGCACAAGTACTCCTTCAACTTAGACAACTTCTCTCCCCTTTGCATTTGTTACTTTCCTCTAGTAAATCATATTAACATTCTATGCTATAAACTGACTAATAAGTTGAAATCAGAAAAACGGGAACAAATCAATAAAATTTAAATGTACCAATTAATATTCGAAATGTACCTCCCATAAGTATTGCATGTAACAAACTTAAACAAGATAAAATATCTAAATTACCCCTGCACTGCTCTAAGAAGATGCTCTTTTATTTTGCTGATTTCCCACATTATTGTTATCTAAAACATTGTCCTCAAGGTGGATAGAAATGTCGTTTCTTTTTTAAAATGGATTTCACTTGAACCAAAGTTAATATATTCAAATATATGAATGTTTCTTTTCTAATTAATATATAAATCATGATTTAATATGCTAAGTGAAGATATGGATATTTTATCGATTTAGATCTTCATTTTCCAGATAACAAGGATAGATTTGAGATTATGCCTTTATTTTGAGTTTTCTTCATTATAAATTATTTGAGATTTTAAATCCTAAGTATTCTTGTTTTATAGGCATACAATGAATCAACCACAAAGGGGAAAGAGAGGTCAAAGGTGTAACATTAATAAATTTAAGAATGTTTTTATGTTTAATGAACTAAGTGGTTCATTATATATATATATATATATATATATATATATATATATATATGTGTGTGTGTGTGTTTCGTAAAATTAAAACATGATTAGTGATGTGCCACTTCTTATGGTTGGAATGAAATCATATAGTAGGTTTGTATTTTGTAGAGATTGATCTTTCAATTAGAATTCTCATGGTGAAAGCTTTGCAGAAAGTGAAGAGTTTGTGTCAGTTGGAATGGTGATCCTGCAGCATCCATGGAGTGGAATTGGTTGATTAATAACACGGGAATGCAAAGCCAGAATGGGCTGGAATGCAATCATGAATGGTAGAAGAGAATGGGGATGTGAGACATCAAGTACGGTTGTGTATTGGTGTATTAGATGTGTATATATGGCATATTAGATGATATGTGATACATCAAGTACGGTTGTTTATTGGTGTATTAGACATGTATATATGGTGTATTAGATGGTTGTATGGTATGCGATGGTATAGGATACGTATAGTACGGTTAAATAGCCGTACTTTCTTATGTGTGTAATCTAATACACCCATCTACTAATACGCCCCTCAATGTACGTACTATATTCATAATTTCAATGGTACTCTATTAACATTTTTCTAGTAGTGTAATACCCAAGTTGAGGGTTACTTTATCAAAACCAAATTTTAGAATCTACATGGATTTAACATCCTCAGCAACAGGAACGAACATCTTCTTAACCTTCAATATGGAAGAAGCTTCTCAAAACAGTTGAAGAAACATTGACAGTGCCCTTCAATTCTATTACTGTATTCATACATTTATTACATGTTAAAAAATAAATAAACCACTAATGTTAAAAATGTGTAAAGGAAATAATAATATAATATACACATACCATCCGTCGGATGGTTTCACTAATAGCAACTGTTGGAAGCTGGGCAACATTCACCTGAACAATATATAATATTAATAATAATCATAATGATGATGATGACAACTTTGTACTGCATATGAAAATAAGTACAAAATGAAAAGTGTGAGCTTACTCTATTGTTAGCATTGCACAACGAACTCTAGTGAAATTGGAATCACCCATTGTCGGCCTATTGGTTGGAGAAAAAGATAAGAAAAAAAAAATTAGATGTTAAAAATATAAAAATAAAAGTTAAGTGAATTGTTTATACTTTCTTACCCATGAATAAAATCACTTTCGGTAATGGAATCAGCAATATGTTTGAAGCATTTCTGTTACAATCAATGAAAATCCACAGAAATAAAATAAATGGTTTTTAATTGATTAATCTGTAGCAGCACTGTAGAATAACAATAAAACCACTACTTTATAGTTTATAGTTTATACTCACATGGAAGATATCAACAGCTTGTGAAAGCAACATTTTGTTGTCATCAGAAACAGATTTCTGAAGGAACACAATCCACTTGACATCGGAAAGGGTAAGGTACAGTGGCCTGGACAAACCCACAAAACCGACTCTTGAAATGCTATGAACACCTAACTGGTACCGATCTGATTCAACTAGACTGACAACAGATCAAGAAAGTGTGAGTGACAGTCGAACAGCATATATAAACTTCGAAACAACAAAAAAAGGACAAAACAGCTTCAAAACACATGATTCAGAATGGTATAAATTCACGTATCAGTTAACTTACATGTTTTTTCTTACAAAATATTGCGGATCCTTGCTAGCTTTCGGATCTGTGTGCACGATAGAGAACGTTTTTTTGAAGTCGACACATAAAAGTCTTGGTGATTTGCTTGATCCAAAAAGACGCAGATCGATAACTTTATCAAAACAATGCATGATTTTCAGATATGCATTATCCTCCTAAGCCAGTAGTTGAATATTTTGATGTGTGTATCCTGGATCTAGATTCAGTTGATTATGACAGCGGCTGTGGATCCTGAACATCTATTATATATAGTAACAAAAGTGTGGGCGTCAACCCTAATCCTGATCTCTAGCGATGGTGATTTGCATCAACCTCCCCTAAAATTGTACATATTATCACATACAGCCCAACCATTAAGAAAAATGATACTTTTGTTGCTTGATGAATAAAGTGGTACCGGATTTTTTTATTTGTAGTTTTTTTCCACACATCTTAAGACTTAAATATTTGTAAATGGCCATAATACTCCTTCATATACATAACTATTTTTTAACAGCTCTTATTTGTAAATGGCCACACTATCTTTATTTTTATATTTAAAAAAAAATAAAAAATTGATACATTTTGTTTTATTGTTTAAATGAGAATATCGTATATCATTTGACATTGTGATTATTCGAAGTTGAGTATACCTTATTCATTGTTTAGCCTTTCAACACGAGAAGGTGTCATTAGCACAAACGTATTATAATGCTTGGCTACAAAATTAATGGTTTCATGAAAAGTTAAAATTATGATTTTTTTTAAATGAAATCATAATAATCTTGTATACTGACAATTATATTTATTTAAAAAACAAATTTCGTGAAGAAACTGATCTTAATAATGTAAATAAGGTAAAATTGTACATATATTTATCGTTTTGCACCCCCTCGAGTTAAACTCTCAATGTCTAAGAAAGCTCAACGAAAAAGACTCAATTTTATGAAAGGTATGTCGGCAAGTTCATTTGGATGATTATTTGATTACTCACACCTGGTGTTTTGATATTTACACATTGTGCTATATTCATTGCGACTTTGCATTTAAAGTATATTTGGATTCCTTTTTTGTTTCAATGCAATATGAGTTTTAGAATATGTCAGCGACAGTTGAATGAATTTTGACAAGCATGCAAGAAACATAACACATGCACAAACTTCCAATGGGCGACTGATTCTCGAGGATCAAGTTTGTGGGTAAATATCCATTGATGGTCGATCATTAATTGCCAGAATGACATACTATACAATATTTATCAAAATATATTTGTAAAATTGGTTTAGGTTTTAAAACCAATGTTGGATTTAATGAACTTACCAAAATTAAGTATGGGTAATGTGATAACTGTGTCAAGCATCTCTTACACGGAATTGCTCCATCAATAACGCCATGAAACCCTGGACTCCTTGTCTGATACTATATACTCCACCGCTAATGTTCAATATTCCTTAATAAACAACAAAAGGGAAACAAAACAAGTGGTATTTAGGGGTAAAATGGCCATTGTTACCATCTTACATTAGTACAATGCTATTCAACACAATTACTTATACTCACATTATATGGAAAAAAAAAAAAAAGCAATGCATTTTGTCTGCTATCTCATAAACATGGTAATTATGGCTGATTCAGAAAAATAAATAGGACTTCTTAGGGCAGGGTTATTTTAGGTAACTAGATTGTTTCAGTTTCTTATGCATAGTAAATAAATTAAATAAACAGATTGACTAAAAGAAAAGTATGTTGCTATCAGTTAGCAATTTCTTCTATAATTTAACAACAATGTACATTGAAATATTTGGACATTTATCTAATTATATTTAATTGCATTTGTTTACCATTAATTTTAAGAATAATGTTTATGTCATCAATTTTTTTTTTCATTTTTAAATTACCAAAAACAAGTTTCACCAAAAAAGTTATCAAACACATAGTTATCCAAAACAACCATTATCATAAAATATCAGAGTTTCTCAAACTATCCTGGTCCTGTATCAATCCACCCAGCGAGTGTGCACAATCACACCTTCACTTTCCCGCATTTCTTAGAAGTACCTGAAACACAAAAACCAACAATTGTAACCATGAAGCTTAGTGAGTTCTCCAAGATATCACACGTCCACATAAATAAACAACTATGAGGTACCAGCAACCATGGGGACTATCATCAGTTCCAGTGGGCAATAACACTCCCTCTAAGTTATTAGCAACTCTAGAGACTGTCCTCAGTCTTAGTCTCACATAATAGCATAGCACAAAACAATAGTAGACCCAACTGGTAATAAAAAATACAACTATTCTACCACACATGTAAGGATAACTGAGGAGACTCACTTGATACTGATGACAAGTAAATCTCACACCCGAAATACTACTACCCGCACCACCAGAACCACTTGATTTAATTTGTGCCACAGCTACTGTTACGATAGCCATCACTGAATCATGACTCAGTGGGCTCTGTCAGGCGGTCCCCTGTGTTTGAGATTATAGAAACCTCATTCCATATTGAATGGAAGGCATTGGCGTTGGTGTTCCCTCCACCGCTCTAGATCTTCCACTCAGCAGGGCGTACAAGTCGGTTAGCGGGAACCCTCGCAACCTAAGGATAGTTGATAACCTCCAACTTCGCATCTGACTCTTATTCTGGCTCATCTTTATCCTCTTCTTCCACTGGCTCTTCCTCAAACTCTTCTTCTTCGAGCTCTTCCTCCAAGATCTCCCCGAAATCTTCCTAAATCCAACCTCCATTCCCCTGGTTAAGGGAATAGGGATCTCCTGGAATGTGTAATCATGCCACCATGTATGCCATCCTGTCTATACAAGAATATAAGTGCGAGAAAATACATGAAAGGTGTATAATATGTTAAAATACTCCTATAGTATTTTAATTCTTTATATTTGGTCCTAGAGCCTATTGGGTGTGTGTGTGTGTGTGTGTGTGTGTCTATATATATATATATATATATATATATATATATATATATATATATATATATGGGTGGTAAGTTTTAGATTTGTTGTCCATCACGACCATTACTAAACAAATGTTGGTCATATGTCGAATAAATATAGATGATCTGTCTGTATTTACCCAAGATATGATTGTATAATTTTCTTGGCTTAATTGCGATATCCAACTTTTCTAAAGAATTTTATTTGTTTCTTATTATGTCACTATTCCTAATATGAATGCATGTACATATACTTTTCTAAACTTGTTATTTTAAAAAGTATACTTTTAGTCAAAGGGTTTTAGCCCTATTGCATTTATAGTTGTATATCATGTATGGTTTGATATACTAGTTCACTATAAACAATTCCCTGATACCAATATGTCACACCCCAAACCACAATGACGGAAATGTCCGAGAGCGGATGATGACATTGTATAGTATCATAAGAATAAAAAAACAACTTAATAATAATATAATAACACAATAACACTACTGGAAAATAGGCTATAGAGTACACCCATATCTAATACGGTTGTAAATATAAACCGTATTATAAAGGGATAAATAAATATAATATGCACAATTACAACATCTAATACGGTTAATGAGATGTACTAGAAACAAGATCAGATACCTAAATAAAATATGCTGCAATTTTGAATAAGTACCGCTCAATACCTAAATTGAATACGTTGAATCAGCTTCCTCCTCACATATTTAGCTTCCTCCTCCCACACTTGTCTCCTCCCAACCGAACACCTTAACACCACCCTTTCTCCATCTCAACACCACTAATCTGTCCTTCATCTCCATCTCTCGTGTCGCAACACCATCATCACCGGCCAGCCTCGCCTCGCACCACCAATAATTCAACCAACCTGAAAATCCCACTACAGGACCATCATGATCATACAAATTAACCACACCCGTGGTTCAATTTTAAAGGGTAAGATCTTTGTTTTCTGTTTTTGCAATAGACAAACACAGGTAGCGGTTCAAATTTTAAGCATAAGAGCTTTGATTTATGTTTTTGCAACAGAAAAACACAGGTAGAAATACAAAGGAACCACAACTGTTTCACAAACGATAAGGAAGCATTTTGGCTGTGATCGAGATGCCATATCAAACGATAAGATCTCTATTTTGAAAACTTATTGTTTCATTTTAACTAGATGATCTTGTAATCTTAAAATTCAAACACCCCTTGTTAAATGCTACTTAACACTCCTTGACAGACCTTGAGTACTAAGTTCATACCAATCAATTTCAATATATCAACTTCTACTCACATAGACCACATTCCCTTTTTCATCAACCCTGTCAAAATATCAGATTAAGATCCATAATAAAGTTTTTTGAAATAGGCCATGGAATGTAACAGATCCAAATCAGAACCACAAACTATATAATAAGAAATAGGCATGGCTATTAATCCTAAAATGTATAATGATATATGGTTTACCTCTAGGATCTATTCCAGAAAAGGAAATACAAGGTAGATGCATTATCTTGAGATCTAGTGAAAGCCAACAAGATTTCGGCTGGTATTATCTTTATTGAAAAAAAATATACACTACCTAATGACGTTTAATCAATCATAATACTTGATCCCTACTTATACAGTTTCTTAATTATTAAAGTATGATTGTGACCTATTATAATTATAGAAATGCAATAATTAGCTTATTTGATTATGGAAAATTAGCTTATTTGATTAGTGGATAATCCGATGTAAAAACAATTAGTGTTATCTAGTGACATCAAGATTGAGCACAAAATATGAATACTTGCTTAGCGAATCGAGAAGCTAAGTGCATGTTCTGAATCTTGTGCACGTCTTGTTAACTCCCTGTGTAATGGAACAATCAGTGTTATCTAATAGCATCAAGATTGAGCACAAAATTAAAGAAGACAAACTACTTACCATATCTTGGGAAGCACCTTCTTGGTTGGTTATCTGTTCTGCAGTAAGGCTACTTTTATGATACCTGGAAATGATATCCTCCACTCTGAAATATAGCTAGTCAGATAATCATTTAGGTCGACTGATTAGTTTCCACCACAAAAAGGGGCAAATTGCAGATACAAAAAAGTAACCAACTTTGGTAACAAACTTCCAGTTTTCGATTTTGGAAATCGAAAGAATACATTCATGTCCAAAAGATTGTATGATGTATAGAAATGAGCATGCAAATCTACGTGAATGTATTACATGTGGAAGATCGTGTTATTTGTGGAAGAAACAAACACAATATAA